ACTGGTGCAGCTTCTGACACTGACGAGTCATCAGTGTCAACCAACGAAGACGCAGACCCCGGTCGATGTTTCTTTGTATGCGCAGCCCATGATGGTTTGAAACGATATCCAGGAAGAAAACGGTCCACAGATTCAACGTCAGGACCAGAATCCGGCTCTCCATCAACAGTTGCCGCGGCAGCCGATGTCAGCGAACGGGTCCTTGAGCTCATGCCACTCTCATGCCCTGCCGAGCCGGGAGGCCCAACACCAGATACAGTACAGCTGAACTGGTATTCTGACGTCCCAGAACGTCACTTTCTCTTCATCCAAAACCTAGAGGGCACAAATCTTGTGCAATGCGGGTGCAACCAAATCAGCCACTCCACGGACCCTTACCACCCAGAGACGAACCAGGTGAAGCCACTGCAACGCTCTATTCGCCAAGTCGCCATGGATCCTCAATCTCCACTCCATCTCATGATGCTAGCCAGTCTCGAAAGCGTGGATCAGGAAATCAATCGTCGCAAGGGCGGTGGCTTGATCAACTTGGAGGAGTTTTCGGAGCATATGAGACAGGGTCAGTTGCGTTTTCTGGAGTCGTGGATGGATTGGGTGGGAATTTGAGGGACAAATATTGGTGTCTTGTGGCTATGTAATCGTTATACAATTGAGTTTAGATTTCGTATTAGCATAGAAGGGACTTATGTACATGTCCTGAAGACCTATGCATACAAATGTCATGTTTCTTTTACTTTTGCTCAGATTTACCTAGCTGGTGTGAGATGGTCTTTACCTTGCACGAGTGCTTTTGACGTCTAGTAAGTGAGATGTTGATGTTTTGATCAGGCTAAGAACTTTTGGGTGTTGTGAGTGTTTTTGTGTGTATAGCAGTGTTGATGCGGGTGTGGGATGTGCGACAAAGGTACAACTGGGGGCTGGCACAGTGATGAATACATGCTAGGCAAAGTACCTCATCCCGACACTTGCGATATGACGACAGGGTCAAGGTGGTATACGAAGCTCTATGTTTACGCAACTACGTAGTTGTTCAAGCTCTCAAGCCCGCACTCTACTTTGACTTTGCAAACTGCTTCCCCCACTTCTCTGCAATTTCCTCTTCTGTGAAGCGTCTCGTCTTGCGCTTTAGCATTGCAATCTTCTCGTCGAGCGTGAGGTTCATTTGGTCGCCGATGGGTACCAAGCACTTGGCGATGTGCTCGTAGTTCTTTCTCAGGAGGTTGATCGTGAGGAAGAAGTAGTCGATGTTGTAGAATACGATTGCGTTTTCGTCGGCGTACTGCTGTTTCTGCGAGAGGAAGGCGACGGGGTGATCGCGCCAGTGGCGGAGCGGGTTGAGATGATGAGAGGTGTGGTAGCCATCATTGTAGCAGTCTCTGTTGCTCTTTTTGAAAAGTTAGGCTGATATGCAGGTTTATTATGTTCATGTCAAACTTACCACTGAGTCAATTACCGTTATACTTGATCGGAAGTCCGAGTCCGGCTCGGTTTCATCGACAAAGGCGTGTTGGCCCCAATTGCCTGTCATAAGTGCCACTCGCATGAAGTTGAGAGGGATCAAGAAGACGAAGATTGTTGAGCGGGCGCTGACATAATTGTACATGAGGTACAAGAAGATGTAGTTGCTCCATTCGCACAACCCTGCTTGAAGTGCAAGGTTGGGCTTGCGTGTACGGATAAAGTACATGGGCAGATCGAACGAAATGAAGAAGTAGAAGCGGCCGACATATTGTATGAAGTCCCAGAGGCTGTCTCGCTGATAACGGATAGTCGAAGAAAGATCATTAGGACCGTTGCCTTCGACGTGATGATGCTTGACGTGATGGTAGTAGTACGAGTTCCAGGTGTGGCCCATCAGCGGATCCAAAATGTACGGAAAGAGCTGATCAAATAGGCTATACTTGGCACTGAGTATACCCCGCATGTGGATGTGTTGGTGTCTCAGGAGAGTGAACGGTCCCATATACGTGCCTTGCATGACACAATGAAGTACAGCATGCCACCAATGAAAGTTGACATATAGGTAAATAGCTGATGGGACGCTAGTGCAAAAGTAGAGAAGCAGATGCGTAACCATCACAACATCTGTCTCTACACGGACGACCTTCTTGGCCCAGCGGATGTAGGGATCGATAATCCATTTACGAAGAAGAGGGTTTTTGATGTCTGGCTCATCAAACGTGGAGAATACGGTAGGTTCAAAAGTGTCAGACTTTGGATCATTGAGCTTTTTGAAATAAGCAATTGCTTGTTGTTGCTGGTCTTGGAGATCTGCAAAGGTTAGTCGCACAATACCAATGAGGAAAGACACGGAACTGTTCTCAACCAATGGAGAAACGCACCTTCTGGTGATGGGATTACGGTCTTGGAATGTTTTATACCCGAGTCGTCAGAATCATCCCCTGCATCTGACGGTGATCCGCTCGCAGGGCCTCCGTGCAGCTCATATTCTTTTTGCAGAATGTTTAGTATGATACGATCCTGGCCAGTGAGTTTTGGATCCGGAGGATAAGCTAGTTTGCCCATTCTGCAGGCGATGCAAAGATATTGCTGGCAGTGGGGGATGTCCAGGTGGTCCGATGGTCCTAACGACGACGGAAAGCTCGCGGGATTCGCGATTAACAGTGAGTGCGAACTTTGAGATACAATGAGCCAACCATAAACTTTGGCTAAAATGAACAGGTTGGCGTTCGGATGTCAGATAGGGTTGTAGTTGTATTGAGGTGCGAGTTGCGGCGCTAGAGAGATACCAAGCGGTGACTGAAGGGTTTAGCGCGCCCCTGGAAATCCACATAGTGGCAAGATCCAACCCCGCAACTATTTTTGTGGCCTAGAACCCCAACTCAGAGAAGGATATGTTGACATATGGAGTCGCATTGAACGCTACCGTCATATCCAAACTGATGTTTGCCGACACGCTGAATTCCGCGGCGTTATGTGTAATGACTTGACCTTTTTTTCTGTTTACTATGTAGCGTATAAGATTAGTTATCTCAGAAGTGAATGGCATACTACACCCTAACCTGTCGGAATCGGGTATCAAAAAATAGATAAACCCTGCAGTGGAAGCAAAAAGATCTGGGTGAGCGTCTGCAAGGCCCTGCTTCTGAACCCTGGAAAATCGTTCGGTAATCTTACCAAAATTTTGTATACCTCTCAACGGGTATATGTCTATTCGGCACACTTCCATTGGGTACGGCAACCAAATCACGGTTGCGACAAAGGCAGTCACATGTAAATGCTGCTTCTCGGATTTTCTGCAAATTTCCAAACTGTACCAATATTCCTGAAGCTCAGGTTTACGGTTGGACCCTTTCACTTATCACGTGACATCTGTAAAACTGATATTTGCAGAAAGGAAAGACCGGAACTATAGGTCAACAGCCCATTGTGATGGTTCACTACAAGGAGGGGAAGGTAACGCGACCTTCCGGCCATCAAAACTCTCATCAACCACCTTGGGGTTTCTATCCGAGATTTGAGTTAGCACCCCAATGTTCTAACATTCTTCTTCACTTTCAATCCTTGTCGGGGAATTAGAATGCCAAATGTGTCAAGATATAGGGCAATAACCGTCTCGCTACATGACTACAACATGGACATAAGGTTTAAGCTTATCCATCACCAGACTTGGCAACTCAAAACATTAGCCTTAGAAAACTGCGATGCGCATTTAATACTGTTTCCCTACGAAGAGTTTTTTCTTAAAGAAGGAGGAAGCGAAAACTTCAAAAATCAAGTACGCGACCCCGAAAAAAAAGGTCACCCAAATTACCGTCAAGGAAACAAGTGGAAGCAGTGGGGCGTAGAATGGTGCGGCACCTACCAAAGCAAGGATTGCTCCTTGTCTAGCACACGTCTATTTTCAATAAAATCTAGGTCAAAGTGCGAACCAAAGCGCATTTTCAGAAATAAGTATGTTTGGAGTTAGGACCGCTGAAGAGCGTTGACTCTACAGACGCTTGATTATTCTCGCGAGTTCATTACCAAGCTCTCAAACGCCTCAGCCTCATGGTTTTGTGCAAACATCATGTTCACTCTCGTACTCTGTTGCCTCTTGACATATATTCAATCGACTTGAAATAGAAGAATATTGTTTAACTTCAGGAAAAATGCTTTAGTACTTTGTTGTGAGGTCGGGCGAAACAATCTGCCAAGCCAAAGTAAGTTCCTAGTATCTCTATTTCCATATTGCTTACGGAAATCCGGTGATTATACTGTAAGAGATAATCTCCGCATTCGCGGACCTGCACGACCTAAAATCGGTGCGGAACTCACCGTTCATCTCGCCCATGTATTTTCTCATTTTTCTTTTACAAAATCTCTACAGAATGCGCAAAAAAGGGGAGTAGATTGTGGTTTTCCGTCCGTGCGTATGAGAATAATTTCGTTAGTATTGATTAGATTTGCGGTACGTAGATTCTTTTGGTAGAAAATAAAGTCGCAGCTTTCACATACTTCGTCAACTACTTCCTTACCCCAAACCATCGGCAGAACAGCTTGGAACGCAATGTCAATCAAACAAACTTGTCCCTGCTACATTTCCCTCATATAATTAGCTCCACGCCTTCAATAGCCAAGACTCAGCCCTAAGCGCTGGGCACGCGCCAACAATCCAGACTAGCAATATGGCACGTTCTAGCGTGTGGCCAATCATGTTCCAGAACCCGCTCCCGAATTAGACACACCCAAGGTGAAGCAAAGCCTCGTGACAAATTAACGCTCCAATGACTCTGTCTTGATTCACATCTGCAGAGACCCGCAAAAGGAACGGGTCGGCGGGTAGTTACATGGACCGCATTTGAGGAGAGAGTTGGCATCCCTTGCGATGGCGTTAAGTTTTCTTGGGACGCCCACCATGAATCCGTGGAGAAAGCAAGTGTAGATGTTTTATAGTCGTAGTACTCCTTTCGCAACTCATCTTGCAACTTGATACCCGTTTTTCTACAGTTCTCAAAGTCACTCATTTTTGCTCGTTCGTCAGTCTTCATTGCAAAAACATGCGTTCTTTCTCGTCACTTGCTATCGCGGCGCTTCTAAGCGCTTTCTCAGCCAATGCTTCACCACTGGCTATGGAGAAGAGAGGTATGTCATCCCGATGAATTCTAAAGTTTCTACGAATCGCATTCTAACAAGAGGTAGTGGCTGTTACCGATGAACTCGTCAGTGACATGGGCTTGATGAGCCAATACGCTTCGGCAGCCTACTGCTCCGATAATTACAATTCACCTGGCGACAAGGTCAGCTGCGTGGACGGAAAGTGTCCAATGATTCAAGCCGCAGATACAAACACTGTAGCTGAGTATAGCGAGTAAGTCGATTATACTCGCACCCAACGACCTGGAAAAGTAAAAAAAAACTAACACCCGCTAGGGACGACAGTTCCACAGATGTAACAGGCTTCATCGCCGCAGACCACACCAACAAACTCATCATCGTATCCTTCCGCGGCAGCAAAACTCCAGACAACTGGCTCACGAACCTCGATCTCGGCATGACCAAAACCGACATCTGCAACTCCTGCTCTGCCCACCGTGGCTTCTGGCGATCCTGGCTCGACTCGCGCGACCGCGTCCTACCAGCCGTATCGCAAGCCGCCTCTGCAAACCCCTCTTACGAGATCCGCGTAACGGGCCACTCGCTCGGCGGCGCCATCGCCACGCTCGCCGCAGCCAGCATGCGCAACGCAGGCCGCAAAGTAGCACTGTATACCTACGGCTCACCACGTGTCGGTGGAAGCCAGATAAGCGATTACATCACCAAGCAAGCCGGTGGTAACTACCGCATCACGCACTGGAACGACCCCGTACCCAAACTCCCGTTGTTGACAATGGGATACGTACATACGAGCCCAGAATACTACATCAACAAGCCCAACGGCCAGGCTGTAGCTGCAGCCGATGTCCAAGTGTACGATGGAGCAGTTAGCTTTCGCGGAAACGGGCGCTGGCTGTCCATGGATGTCGAAGCGCATATGTGGTATTTCACCAGCGTGAAGATGTGCGATGCGAAGAAGATTAAGAGGGGTGTGTTGGATATCACGGGGGCAAAGGGGGGCAAGATGGAAGTTATGACTGTCTTCTAAAAGGACATGGGATGAAAATGGGATGGGGCATGGAGATTAATTTACTAATTCGTCGTAATGATGTGTATAAATAAGCCAGAACAATTAGGAAATCGTGAGCGTAAAAGAGATCGTTAGGGGGCGGGGTATCATTACGAACGCCGAATGAAAGAAGACATAGGGAGAGGGGGTGTTTCAGCATTCTAGAATGTCGCAGTCCCATTCGAGTTCGTCGCCTGTGTGCTCGCGCCACAAGTGATCCATGAGTGAGCCAATGTCGCGGCATAACATGTCGAAGCGCCGGAATCTGGCGCAGAGGACGCATGCGAAACCGCCTTGTTCGCGGTGCGACTTTACGATGAAGCGGTTTTTGATGCGGAAGACGCGGTAGAGGGGTTTGCGGCGGAGGTGCTTGGACTCGCGGCAGTTGTCGACGACGATTTCCCAGATTTTGCCAGGTCGCATTGCTAGGTATGTGCGGCAGAATGGGCACTTGTTGTCGCCGCAAGGCTTGTAGGCGTCGGCTAGGGGCATGAGCGGGTTGTCTTGGAGCTCTTTCGCATAGATGCAGAACAGCCGGGTCTTTGTTGTTGGAGGACAAGGCTTCTCCTCGGGTTTTGGTTTGGGCTTCAGATCTGGCTCTGGTTTCGGTGCCGGCTTCGGTTTGGAAACTGGGTTGGGAACCGGGAGTATTTTGAATTCCTTGTCTTCTGAAGAAGTCGATGAGCTTGAGCTGTCACCCGTACGCCGCCTTGGCTTGAATGGCTTTGTCGTGTGCCAAGTATCCTCGGGGTCTGGGAAAGCCCCAGGCGGACTGTAAGGCGGACTGAATGGCGGATCTGGTTGCCTTGGAGAAGGTGAGGGTGTGGGTAGCATACGCTGGTACTGCATACTCAGTGCCGCCATCGAGGCTGCACGCGCTGTCCGTGTGGTCTGGATCAGACGCACAAGGTGCGAGTGGGTGGACGAGGGCGCGATATACGAGCTCATAGACAGGTCCTGGTGGATGACTAGAAGCACCTTCTGAAGCTGTATGATTTGTGATTGTAGTTGGATCTGCGCCGTAGCTTCGTCGAGTCAGCATGTAGCCCTTTAAGTCAAGAAGAAAACTCACCATCCCCACGAGCGAAAGACTCTCCTATCTTCCGATATCCGCGTTCATATTCGGCTCTTATTTGAGCCGAAGAGGTAAAAATGAGCTCTCCTTCACTCTCGCTAAGGTCCTTGCTCTTGCCCGACATGCTAAATCCAGAGTCGCGCCGTCTATGCCCAAGCATGCTGATATGGAATCTGTCTTCATCGTCGCTGTCTCTGGGACTAGACTTGCGCTTGAGCTTTTGATACAGATCGCTTGCTGATCCAAAAGAATCAGTCAAAGCTCGCACCAGCGATGCGACGATTACCAGTTCTGTTAATAGGCCTTTGGCCTGTATACACTCGGTCAGTACTTTGCTATGATCAATATGCGAAACTGGTGTCACCGCTAAAGCGCTAGTTTTGGGACGGGAACATACCGCTTGAACCGCTTCTTCTGTTTCTGGCTTCATTTCGATGAGGAAAAAGAGTATGCGAAATTCGTGAGTTGTGTGGTGCAAAAGGAGAATGCAGGCATCAAATGAACGACTACATCTTGCGCCTGACGACAGCCGAACCACCAGGCAACTATTTCTACACCAGATCATACAGCAACTATGGCCTCAGGTGAAAGCCATGGATTCACATTCGATGTATCATGGGTACCTTCCGGACCTGGTCTTGGTAGTCGCATGCTTGCGCCTCTTCACGTGGCGTCTGAAACATGACTGGTGTGGCTCGTACTGACCACTGCACGAGTACTGAACGAGACCATGAGGAGCGGTGTTGAAATAGTCATAAGGGTCTCACAGCCCACCGATTTTACCTGTAGCCCAGAATACTTTCAACGACTGCTTCGTGGTGGGATCTGGGTGCGCTGAGTGAGCCTTCTGTTGATGAGGCCCGAATAGTCCGCGCCACATGCTCGATGGCGCATGCGTGACATGTTCTAAGACAACAACAGTATAGACGATGACCAAAATGTCAAAAGTCCTTTCAACAAATCCGCCTCGCTAAGTGAGAGTGAGCTGTATGACTGGTCCTCCTGTCGAAGTGTGCTGGCTGCATCGTGATGGCGCTTGATTCCGTGGGGTCCTGTTGAGTCCAAGCAGACAGCCTCGCAGCGCAGTTTGATCGACAACAGCGCATCGTAATGGGCCTAGTCAGGGCGGCTGTCGAACTGCTAATCTGTGACATCGTCCCGTTCCGTACCGTAAAGGTAATTATTAGGAAGAAGGAGGTCGTGCTCCTGTCAGAAACCGAGTGAGCGTCAGGTGACGCCACTGCGCACTTGGACTTGGCACGCGTCTCACGCCTCGCTGCACATCATCGTGACTACATCACTTGCTCTGTTCACCCCTTGTGCCCGAAGCTTCGCCGCATTTTAGGACGAATGTTAGACACTACAGGGCATCCGTCATGTATGCAAGCCATCTCGTTATCGCCCGTCTTCCGCCGAGCGCAGGTACCCGGAAATCAACTGGGGTCTACAGGGCGCTTCGAGTTTCATCGCATCAAATGATTCGCTGGGAGCATCCCAGCGCAGCATGCCTTCAGAAGCGCGCTCCTACTCAAGGCACACTCTGTTAGCGCCGTGCTGGGGATTCGCTATTGCTGTGCCGCAAAGATGCCATCCAAAAGAGACGTGTTCGCTGCCCGCGAACCATCAGCCGCATCTGCCTGTACGTCTTCGTGGCCTTGCAGCGTCGCGTGACGGAGTGCATCAGCAATCATGAGTACGACTACCAATTCCCGATGGAACCCGTTCCGACGTCATGTTGTAAACCCCGTAGCAGAAGAGACACCGCTAGCTGCTCCCATCATGGCAGCACCCAAATCAAAAATTTGGGAGACGACTGTAGAGCGAGTGAAAAGCTGGCCTGAGGAAGCCAGGCCTTTGAAAAAGCATACATGGTTAACATTCTTGTACGGTCTTGGAGACTTCCTCTTGGTGTTATTACCGATATATTTTATCCGTAAGTACACTCATACGATGGGCATGTGCTGAGCACAGCTAAGTCATGGAAAGTCCTAGGAGTTGCAGTCATCACACTCAATGGAAAGCCCACAAAAGGATCTGACTTCGGAAAGAAAGTGGAATTCGCCATGGGTTTGGTCAGCTACAAGTATACGATGACGCAAGTCTCACACTAATCAAAGCTTAGGGTCCCACCATGTTTCCAATCGTATTTGCGGCAATCAGTGGGAGAAGCATGAAGATGATAGCCCGGTTCCTTGCTGAGAAAGGCTCTAGGATCAGCGTGAGTCTGAGGACTTTGCATGTCTATGGAAAGGATCAACTAACACGTTTATAGACTCTAGAACTACTAATGGCTAGTCAGTCCGTATGGGGAACAGTGGAGAGTCAACTGAACATGCAGCGTGTAACCCTTGTTGGTGTCAACCTCTTGTTTCTGTGGGCCTTATCTCCACTCGGAGGCCAAGCATCTCTCAGACTCATGACAAGACAGAACCTGGACAGCTTCGCCGATACCAAGCTACGGTACCTCACAACCGGTCCGGGAGGAAGTATGTGGGGCTTGTCCTCAACATATGTCGGCAGTGGGAGGTTCGCTGATGCCGGAGCCTTATACTCTGCAGCCTTGCTAGCGCCCCTGGAGACCAAAATAGGCCCAAGAGACCCGTGGAACAATGTTAAAATTCCCAACATCGACTATATTAACAGCACTCATGCAGATACAGAAGGCTGGATAACAGTACCTGCTATACAACAGCCAGAGACTTATTCTGCACTCGTTGGGCTTCCAATAGTTGGACTTCCACAAACAAGGCGATCAAACTTCACAATGGAATCGACTTACCTAACAGTAGAGTGCGGCCGCTTCAACCAAACACCATACCCGGGGCTTAATAACAGTACGAATATGTCCAGGACTAACTTTACTAAATTGGACGAGCTTGTTCCCGGTCAAGTGTGGAGTAACAAGTCTTTGGCCAATCCGTTCAAGCCAGCCGAAGGCAGATCTTCGTCATTCTTCATCGACACAAATCTCGGATCACCCTGGGATACTGAAGATCCTATGTATGAGACACTAATTGGACGACTCGATGCTTTCTTTGGCAATTACAACAAGACTCGACTTAGTAGCAAGCAGGCACAAGAAGCAAGAGAGATCTCATTCACATCAGTCTATGCTACAAGCGTAGATGGTAATGTATTCGGTTTGAACATGGCGCGCTGTACCTTGGCACAAAGCCATGTTGAGGCGATGGTTGAGTGCACTGGTAAGGAATGCGTAACCAAGAAAGTCAGAAAATCTCTGTCGGATTCGCGGCCTTCAACTTATACGGCATTCGAGCATGGAGTCATCATGGCAGGCTTTGCACAGCAATTTCCGCTTGCAGTAGCTTATAGTGCTGGATCAAGTCCGACTGAGCGATATCTTGCCAACAGCTCCGCTTTTCCCTTCGTACAGCAGGCCGGCCACGTTACACAAGACATCATGTATACCAACCTGTCCTTGGTCGATCCAGGGCTTTTCTCCCGACGGTTGAGTTCCGCTATAAATACCTACTATCAGCTTACAATACAACCAACGGGATACTTCGGAAGCCTATCAAGCAACTTGTCGCTATACGGTCCGGATACACTCCCTGTTAACGACGTTGATAAGTACCTACCAAGCGACTTACCAGCTACGAACAGCTCCTTCTTTGACTGGTGGCCGAAATTCGATGCAGTAGCACAGAATAGTCAGTCTCCCTTCATAGGCGCAACGACTACTGCAACAGTTACGACCACGGAGGAGATCTTTGTTGGCGAAGTGGCATGGTTGTCACTGCTCATGGTGTCTTCGTCTGTGATTTTAATCACTGGTATCGCAGCACTGGTTCTCAAGCAACGCACACTTGGACCTGAGCTATTTGGTTTTGTCTCAAGTATGACATATGAAAACCCATGGGTGAAAATTCCAAGTGGCGGGACCATGCTGGACGCCATGGAAAGAGCAAGACTTTTGGGAGATGTTCAGGTGCACATTGCTGACGTACGCGGCAACGATGATGTGGGCCATATCGCCTTTGCCGCCGGCGTACCCCTTCGCAAACTAGAACGAGGGCGCCTCTATTGCTGAGGCTGAAGTCGCTCTAAACGTATTCAGAATGTCCGTTTAGGGTAGCATGTGGCGCAGCACCCGGCGTCAATGCCGCACATGTTGCAAGTCCCGAGCTGCACACATGTAGCGCTCAGAAAGCCGCATGATTGATGGGAATCGCAAATAGCCAACCGGATCTTAATGGACGAGAAACGTGGGCCTTGAAACAATGCAACTGTCATTCTGGTCTGCAAAAGGCCATGGGACGCGACGCAAAAACCACACTCCACCATACTCCACACCACGCTATGATCTGCACGTTGCCGCTGGACATCAGCCAGTCCTATGCTTTGGAAGGCTAGGAAATGTGACAGCGCAGCTGTTATTCGGTGAACGGATCAAAAAACAAGCATTGCGATCGGATGCTGTGGAGCAAGCCAGGGCACCGTGAAGTTATCGGTGTACACGAGGGCGTACGCGGTTCACCAATCGGCCACTGGAAACAGGGATGGTAAGGCCGGAGGTGCGACGTAGCATAAAACTCCCAGGGGTCTGGCTCGCTTGCTGGCCTGCTAAGCGACTGAGCCTCATCCAATGATCAACCAGATGCACCCTCGAAACGAAACCTCGCCTAAGGCCATTCATCGAAGCATGACGATCCCCGACTATACGCAATCATCGCCTTCCTGCTTGGGTGTCGACGCATAACGTACATGCACTGACGTTGCAAAATGCTAGAATTCCTTTGGCTGAGAGCCTCAGTGTACCTGGATTGCACGTTTCATACCGTAGGCGCTTGCCACTGTGGAGCGACGCCTTCGTTCATATCCCCCTGTTTTGTGTTTACACACTTGCCTGCTAGGCTGGTTGTTTGATTAGAGGGCCAGAAGAAGAGAATCGTTGTGGAGTTGTGGTGTGGTGGCGAAATGTGCGTAGTGTCCACATTATGGATGTCGTGACATCTGTATAAGACTGCAACCACCCGCCAGCAATGAGCATTATCACCACAGCAGTCTTTACATTCTTTGCTTTTTTTATAGCATCCTTTTCTCTCTAGCTGGGCTAGTAGCTTCTTCTCACTTCCACACATTCTTTACCAACCTGTTTTTGCACATTTCACAACACCATCATCATGTTTTTCCGATCGATCTTCCTATCAGCAACGGCCCTGGTTGGCACGACCAATGCTCATGTCAAGATGTCAAAGCCTGTCCCATATAGTGCGGACAAGGTTGATACATCACCCATCACTAAGGCGCAATACCCTTGCAAGTCCCAGAATGGTTTCACTGTTACCACGATGAATCCTATGAAGGTTGGAGAAGAGATGCCACTGGTGCTCGACGGTACTGCCGTTCATGGAGGAGGCAGCTGTCAGCTCTCAGTTTCTATGGACACCGAACCCACTGCCAACTCCGTGTTCAAGGTTATCAAGTCAATGGAGGGAGGATGCCCTGGTATTGAAGGAGGCACCAACAACTACACTTTTACCCTTCCAGACAGCATCCCCAACGGCAAAGCTACATTTGCCTGGACATGGATGTCAAAGCTTGCAGGCCAGCCAGAGCTCTACATGAACTGCGCACCTATCGAGGTTACCGGTGGCGCTAATGACAAGAGTGGATTCGATGCACTTCCTGATATGCTAGTTATCAACCTTGACAAGTCCTGCGAACAGGTACCAAACACTGCTGTTAAATTCCCCAACCCAGGTACAGTAGTGCAGTTGGGAAACACCGACGATTTGAAGGCCCCCGTTGGAGAATGTGGCTCTTCTGGTTCTACTCCTGCTGAGCCATCTTCTCCTGCTGGTGGTGAGCCTTCCTCTGCTCCCTCTTCTCCTGCCGCCGGCCAGCCTTCTGTCGCTCCCACCTCTGCAGCTGGAAGCCAGCCCTCCGCTTCACCTCTTCCTCCCAATGGCGGCGGTGTCTTCGCTCCTGGAGCCTCCAGCGGCTCTCCCGCCGGTCCTACCGCCCCAGTCCTCCCCTCAACCTCCACCACCCTCGTCACCGTCACCGCCACCCCTACTGCCCCCGTCGGCACCGGCTCCCCCTCTACCCCCACCACTCCCTCTACCCCCGGTGGTACCGGCTCCCCCGCTACCCCCACCACTCCCTCTACCCCCGGCAGTGGCTCAGGTACTCCTTCCACTCCTGGCGGCGGCTCGTCCAGCTGCTCCGAAAACGGTGCCATTGTGTGCAACGGCGCTACCCAGTTTGGTATCTGCAACAATGGCATGCTTGTCTGGCAGGAGGTTGCGGCTGGCACTACGTGTGCTAATGGCAGCATTACTAAGAGGGGCTACAATGGACGTGTTGTACGCTCGCACTTGATGAGCCGTCGAGTTGCTCATTACTAGGTTTCTTTCACTCGCTTTGACGAGTTGTGGTGCCCACACTCACACACACATACATACGTTCTTACCCTCTTTTTTTCGCTCTTCATTTTCTTTCGACAACAGGTCTGGGACCGAGTCTTTTCTTCTTTCCTTCTTTCTTCTTCTTTTTTTTGGGAGGAGGTGGATAACGCCTAACCCGCCATTCTTTCTTTTCTTCTCTCTCTCTTTTTCTTCGGATGAGTTTGAGAGAACTTGAAGCTGCTGCTGCTGCTGCTGTTGAGTACCTGTTGTTGTTGTTGTTGTTGTTGTTTTGCGCATTTTTACTGGAGTTTTGAAACACATGGAAGGGGGAAACAAACAATCGTCTTCTTTGGAAAGACACGAACGGGATCATACACACATTATCGCGCATTTGCAACACAAGGAAACAAGGGGGGAAATGGATGCCGGTGTACATAAAACAAACCCTCGGCTCATAGCTGGGGCAAACTCCAAATTCAAACATCAGTCTTATCAAAATGTCTCCTTTTTCTCTTTCTTTCATTTTGTGCTTCCTTCGTCATGTGAATGTTTCTTGTTCCATTTCATCTCTTTTCTACTCCACACATGTGCCCATGGAATCCAGAACCTCGGGCTTGATTTCTTTGCCGACAACTTTACCTTTACCCACCCCCCTTTCTTCCACAATCACCGAGGGGGGAAACTTCTTTTCTAACAGTAAAGTCATGATGGAATTACAACCAAGAGAATACATGTGACCCCCCCCCCCCTATTTGTTTCCCTAGATGATGGTACGATAACACAAGGATTCCCCCCCCACCGCCCCGGCCCTTCTAAAACACAACCCGCGCATTCACTCAAGTCATCGCATCAGCACTAAACCCCTCCTCCCTATTTCCCCCATCTATGACTCTCCTCCCCCCCCCAAAAAAGTACGTAATAGGTTTTTTTTCCTCACGCCCACGCAGCCGTTGGAGGCTACTTGTATCACTGCGTACGCGAGTGGTGGTGGTGCGTTATTTCGGTGGGCTCGGGGTTTCTAGTACGTAGCTAGATAGTATGTAGAAGCAACGGTGTGATGGGTTCCGCGGAAGAGTTTGACGGTGGCGTGTCATGGGATTGGGAATTACGGGTAAAAGTAAGAAGTACTTTGGGGGGTTCTTGGCGGTGCCCGTTCGAACACGAGGATATTTACTTAGGTGGGTTTGGCGGGGGATGGGGAGGTTGGTTGGGGCGTTGGGGCTAGTGGTGGAGTGGGAGAGGGACGGGAGAGTAGAGGGGGTCCGTGCTGGTTGGTGTTGTTGGTGTTGTTCTGGGCGGGCTTGGAGTGAGATGGCGTGGATGTGTGGGGATGAATGGTTGCGGGTATTTGGATGTGTGTGGGGGGGTGTTGTATGGGTAGATGGGGACTCAGGGAAGTGATTATCTCGAATGTGAGTTAACTGTGTGTATGTGTGTTTGATGCTGTATGTAGACTATCGATTGATAGTCTTCAAGTTTTTCCGTTCAATCCAGCTAGGGCCGTTGGTTCATCTGTGCTTACGTGATGCTAATGCCACTTTAGACTCTAGTCTGACTACTTTGAGTATTCGGGGAGTATTTCGGGCGTAGTTAATCTAGTGACACTATCAAGTGGGGAACGACAAGACTCGAGACCGTTTCTACTATACTACTTGACGCTTGCGATGGGGTGATTGAGTTCTTGATTCATGGTGCTATTTACTACTACTTCGTTCGTTCCTTTCGTCTACTTGATGTAAAATTATTGGGGGTTGGGGGTATATCTAACGGTTCTCATCATCCTTATCCTTACATGGCGTCCAAAAGGCAAAAGTAATATTGGTACACTTTCTTGTGTCTAAGCATTTATACAAGTATCGTTTAAAATTGTTTATCGTTCCCCGGTTGGCCATGTGATGAGCTGGGGAGAAGGACCTGGTCATCTGGTAGCTCGGCCACGTGGATCCGAGCTAGGTCCTTTTCTGAAGGCGAAATTTCGGGAGATGATGCGGGTCTGGAGAAAGGTGTTAGTCTGGACGCTTAGAAACGGTGAACAGTTGGCATTCTTACTGCGGAGCCTTGGGCATGCCATCAAGGTTGTATGCGTATTTTTGTGCTGGTGGGTAATATTCGGCGCTGTTCAACTCTGGGGGCTGCCTTGAATTCTGAAGTGATTTCTTGGCTGCTGCCTTTCTGCGACGCCAGCAGAAGAAGGCGACAAGGAAGATGATAGGAAAACCTAGGCCCAGGCCCAGGCCCAGGCCAATGCCGAGCGCGAGGTAATTGGGGCTTGATGTTGAAGATGAGGCCACTTCAGCGGATGCAGAGCTATTCGCAGAGCCATTCGGGGAGCCAGTAGGGAGAGCAAAGGAAGTTGCTGGCAGGTTGCTGGGATTCTGGGGCTTCGCTGTAGCTGTTGGGTTGCGAGTCTGAGTGAACGACTCGAGAATGACAGTCATAGTGGATACGTTTGCAGGTGTTCCATCAAAGGAAAAGACCTCGAACGGATTCTCACACTTGCAGTTGTCATAGCAGCAGTAAGAGTCAACGTCAGTGACATTGCAGCTGTAGACGGGTGCACCAGCGTGCATGTTATCTGTATGGCAGTGAGTATGTGGGATACATATGTACATGAGTCTGGATGCAGGCACGCGACTTACCAAAACACTGGCGCACACAGTTTCCGCTCTTCCAGCCTCGGTCTGTGCATGTTCCTCGATGCGTGCGTGCTTTTGCTGGGTCATGGGGGTCGGAAACACATAGTCCATTAGAGAGACATGCTTGACGGTCGAAGCAGCACGAGGAGACTATGGCGTTGGGGTTGCAAGCAGTGTCGAGGGTAGACTCCTGGCCATCTGGAAACCAGCAGGTAGCAAGGACAGACGAAGAAAAGGTCAATAGGACGGGAACCAGCGCAGCGATCCGCATGACGGGCGATATGGGGGGTGGTGGAGGAGGAGGGGAGGAGGAGGATGGAACGACTGGTCCGTACAAAAGATACGAGAGGCACGCAACAGCGACTATGGCAGGCGCCTTATAGTGGAATTGGAAACGGGCAGCATAAAAGATGGCCAAACCTGATTGTTGGTAGCCACGATCCTCCGGTGATACTGCGGGGGCTTTGAATGGGTTTGATTTGCCATGGCGAGCCCGCAGTGCACTGGACTACGATCAAAGGCGATACTCGGTGAATAAGAGACATGTAGGGGTCCTGGGGGTAATTCGCCTGCTTATAGCTGGTTTCATAATGCAACCGTCATGCGGGCCCAACGACGAAAAGAACTAGAAACACGAGGTCGAGAATGGACAAGAAACAGATAGAGTGGGCTCCGCATCCTTATGCAGGTGGTGCCAAGGCGAGCGAGCTGGGAAGAGGGCCAGATGAGGCAGCGCGCATTGACCGGCCCAGCAGGGAGCCGGGGGCGCTTGGCAGTCCCGCCGCCCTGCAACGTCTCGCGTTGCATTTGACACGCCCGCGACGACTGCGACGACTGCGACGACTGCGACGACTGCTTGACGCTGGTCGCCTTGACCACGGCCATGTCCGCCCTGCCAGCCTGCTAGCCGTCTCTCGCCCAGCCTGCCAGCATCACATGACTGCCCGACCACGCATTCGTACACGCCCGCCATGTCTGAGCCGCGACGGTCCACGCGGGCACGCGCTCGCGAAGAAGCTGCTCCGCCCGCAAAGCCTTCGCCCTCGCTGAAGAAGCGCAAGAGGACGGCCGCCGCAGCCAGCGAGCAGCTGAGCCTGCCGCCGTCCGCATCCACGCCAGGCCCGCCAGCAGCAGCAGCAGCAGCATTGTCGACGCCGCCAGCCACCGAGCGAGCGCCTCTTCCCCCCAAGCAACCCGCCCTGCCGCTACGCATCGTCGACGGCGCACCGCTCCCTACCCTGTCCGAACCCCAGCCGCTCGACTTGCCGTGCAGCGAATGGCAGACGATCCAGCAGAGCGGCGTGCTTGAAACGTCATTTGAGCGCTCCAAGGCCGTGTGGCTCTCGGGCGCAAACTTTCGCACTTTCCACTCGCACTTCACCCAGCCCAAGAAGCTGGCCGACCGCACGGATGAGGACCGCGCAAAGGCCCAGCGCCAGAAAGAGCTGCTCAAGAACTTCCCCCAGGTCGGCGCCGACCGCGTCGTCGTCAAGCTCGTCATCGAGCCGCATACGCTGCCCATCAGGCTGTATGGCCCGCGCGAGGTGGCCAAGCCAATGCACAAGAAGACGCCTGCCCCCTCGCCCTATGCCCCGTGGCCCGCTCATCACCACCACCCGCACTCGCACGCCCAGCACCAAAAATACCACCATGTCCCGCCGCCCCTCCACCAGAAACCCCCGCCGCGACCGCCCCAGCCCCAGCCGCCCAAGCCCGTCCAGGTCGCGCCTCCACCCCCCGCGCCCCCCGCGCCCTCTCCCGCCCCTGATCCCGTGATCCATATGCTCGCCGCCAGAGCCGGCACCGACCCGGCGTTGAAGGCTGTCATGAAGATTGTGGCAGCGGGCGAGGCCAGCAAGGAGCAACTCGAGTTTTTCCAGACGCACATCAACGAGCTGACGGCCATCCTCGCCCGCCAAAAGGAGGAAAAAATGTCCAAGCCTGCTCCCCCGCCGCCTGCTCCCAAACCTGCCCTGCCGCCTCCACCGCCTGCTCCGCCAAAGCAGACAGCCCCGCCTCCGCTCCCACGGCCTGTCCAGCCCATGCCCCAGCCCATCCAGCCCAACACGCCCAAGTCTTACACGCCGGGTCCTTCGCAAGTCCACATGCAGCAGCAGCAACCTCCTCCTCCTCCACTCTACCAGCCCCATCCGCCATACCCCAACAACTACAGCAAACCACCTCAGTACCACCCACCCCCTCAAGTGCCCGTCTACAACCCTCCACCGAGAACGACATATCGTCCCTTGGTCTTTAGCTTTGTCCATGGCAACGAGGATAAGTTTTACTTTCCCTCGTACAGCTTTATGGAATGGCTGCCCAATGGTACTGGCGCAAAGCTGTCGTTCCTCATCACCAAGATGAAGCCAAAGCCAAAGCCGGAACCCGTCGTTGAACCGCCTTCTACACCTGCTCCAAAGGCCACGCCAGCGCCGGCCCCCACGCCCACACCCGTACCAGCATCCAGCGCTCCTGCACCTAGCGCCCATACACCCGCGGCTCCTACACCTGGCCCAGCTCCCCCGAACGGCATGGCACCAACACCAAACTCTTCGAACCCAACTTTTACATCCATACAGCCTGCCGCCTCGGCGCCTCCAACACCTGCAACGCCTGCAACGCCATTCGTCCCGCCTAAACCACCCCAACGCATTGAGGAATTCGACGAGATGAACGAAATAGACAATATTGAGTTTTACCAGCCAGTCACTGTGCTTTTACTCATCGAAAACGACGACGGTGATGAAATCGCCAGCGCCCTCCCCCGCTCAATTCGACCACCGCACATTGTTGAAAAATACATGAACGAGGTGTTTGATCGCTGCAAGCGCGCCGATGAGACGTACCTGGCTTTCAGGCTGCCGAGAAGCAGCGACGAAGTGCCAGAGAAGAGGTTGAGGAGCGGTGATGTGACGCCTGCAATTGCAACCCCGGTGCAGGATGTTAATATGACAGGCACGGGCGCGGCTACAGCAAGCGCAGCCGATAGAAAAAAGGCCGGACGACCTAGGAAGAGTCTGGTCTGAAGTAACGTGGAAACATGTACGTATAGTTGTGTTGATATTGGACGAGAATCATGAAGAAAAATAATAGCTCGTATTACTACAAAAGTACAAATGATACCCGAATTTCGAGCATCGCTACATGCTCTCTCAGTAGTAACACTTTGTCTAAATTTGTTTTGATGCGTGAATAGACTTGAATCTTTCTCTCTGTCATAATCAGGCTACCAAATCAATATTCCAACACGTATAAATCGAACCCTTCACACCGACTCAACTTTCTCCATGCCCCTAATAAGCAACATAAGCAAACAGCCGTGATGATAAACTCCGCCCATCGTTATCGCCGACGCCAAGAACCCGCTTCCTATCGGCCCTCACATACTCATCCGGCCTAGTTNCAACTTCTAACCCGCACCACCGCCAACAAACCGCCCCAAGTCCGATCTAGCCATCTTGCATCTTTATTCTCTTTTTTTTTTTCTTTTCTCCCTTCCCGAATAAACTACTACTTTATCCCCATCAACCGCCTCAACTCCTGCTCACACACACACCATCCCTCCCTCCCTCCCCAATCTTTTTGCATTGTTGGATTTTTTCGGGGGGTGAGTTTGTTTGTCAGCTTGCCACCGGGGACCTAGGCTACATAGGGCGCTGTGTGTGTGTGTGTGTGTGTGTGTGTGCCACACAAAAAATGCCAGACTTTAAAGTATGGTTTACAAGAGCGTACTGGACGTTTGCTGGGTTGGGTATTCTTTGGGCGGGTTTTCTGGGGGCGCTGATTAGCCCGAGGTTTCAGAGGCAGTGAGTTTTTTTTTTCTCCTTCGTTCTTCTTTCTTTCTTTTTTTTCTTTCTTTTTTGGGTTGGCGGAGAGGAAGGGGGTGCGTGGGAAATAGGTGTAGGAGAAGGAGAGAAATGGGGAAGATGGACCGGGAGGGGAAAAAAAGAAAGATGAGCTAAATAATTGATAGTGCATTGTATGCTCATAAATTCCACACGGGGTTTTGGAGTAATGTGTCGAATCCTGAGGAGTTTGGGTTTGCGAGTAAGTTTATCCATCTTGTTTCCATTTTATGGCGGTTGAGGGTATCGCGGTTTGTGAGGCTGGATTGAAGTGGTGATTTAATTGGCTAACGTGTGTCTTGTCAATAGAGGGTCAAGTTCAGCCTTTCTGGCTCACGACTTTTGATAATGAGAAGCTGTTTTGCTGGCACGTGCTTCCTCTAGATGTGTATCTAGAGAATGAACACGAACTTTCTACTGCTGCGGCAGTGGGACAGGCGGTTGAGGAGTTGAAGGGGACGGTAGGGGAGAAGCTGATGAGTAGGGATGTTGATACTAGGATTGTGATCAACTTCCATGGTGTAAGTTTCTGTTTCCTGTTCATCTCTCTCCGTTTTTCATATGTCGACTTCCTCCATGTCCTTTCTACAAGTCCCCATTTCATGTCCTCAGTTGTCAGACATGGTTCTTTGACTCTTCTCTCGAACTGCACAATATTTCCTTTCAAATATCCACTTCACCTTGAAAGAGAACTTCCACTTCTCACACGCATACAGAACGCCGGACACATCGCCCAAGGCTATCGCCCATCAACCTATCGCTCCATCTCTGGCATCCCAAAAACTCACCTCCTAACCTGCGATTACCGCGGCTTTGGACATTCCACCCTTAACAACCCTCCCCACATCCCCACTGAAACCGGCATCATCACCGACGCCATCTCCCTCGTATCTTATGTAACCAACGACCTTTCCCACCCCATGTCCCGTACCGTACTCCTAGGCCAAAGTCTCGGCACCGCCGTCACCGCAGCCACAGCACTCTACTACACGGACCCTACCTCCCCCAACCTCCCCGCCTCCCTCTCCACCCTGCAACCCCCCAAACCCGCCAAAGAATCCTTTGCCGGCATAATCCTCGTAGCCCCCTTCCGCACCCTCCCCCTCCTCCTCGAACACTACCGCGTCGGCGGCATCTTCCCCATCCTCAAACCCCTCAAACCCTACCCCGTCATAGCAAACTTCCTCACCTCCCGCATCATCGACACCTGGCCCACGCTCCCCCGCCTCCAATCCTTCATCTCCGCCGAAAAATCAAACAAGCACGGTTTCTACATCTCCCTCCTCCACGCCCGCAACGATCAGGATATCTCGTACCATGAGAGCGAAACCCTGTTCGAGCCGTTGCAGACGCTCATGCTGGGGGCGGCCGAGTCGGCCGCGGACGTGGCCGCTGAGGAAACGAGGAGGAGTATCCATGGTGGTGAGCGTGTTAAGCGTGGTGCGTTTGCGTACAAGAAGGTTGAGGATGCGAAGGGGGAGCGATGCGTCGAGCTGGAGGTTACGCGGTATGGAGGGCATAATGAGGTTGTGGGATGGGCGCAGGTGGCGCTTGCAGTGAGGAGGGCGTTTGAGAGGAGGGCGAGGAGGATGAGGCCCGGGTTGGATGTTGAGTGATCTAGTTTTTTGTTTCGTAAGGAGAGATGGGAAAGACAGAAGTTGATTGTTGAGGGGGATATCATTTTTCTTTTCTTTTTTTTCCTTCAGTCGTTTAAAGGGCTGCGTGGTCATTTACAATACATGTACAAATAGTATACATACACCCAGTGTTTTGGTCCGTAGATACGCCAGACATTCCGTCTATATGCAAGTCATACATTTCTTGTCCATGTTGGTCCTGCTTCTTCACCAGGGTATACCATTCGAGTCCTCAACACCTTCTCTACGGTATGCTTCTCCCGCCCATGTGTCAGGCTCAAGCATTCCTCTCCTTCTGCTCCTTCTCGTACTTGGCAACAAGCTCCTTCTGCAGCTGCGGCGGCGCAGGGCTGTAGTGGCTAAACTCCATGCTGAACTCGCCCTTACCCTGCGTACTAGCACGCAGCTGACTGCTGAAACCAAACATGCTGTTCAGACTGCAATCCGCATACACTGTAAAGTCCTCTGGTCCGATTTCCGTATCGTTGATGACTGCGTTCCTCTTGTTCAAGAGTCCAACAACGGAACCTTGGAACTCGTTCGGTGCGGTAATGGTAGTCTTCATGAGGGGCTCGAGGACCTGTGGGGCGCCGGACTGGAACGCCTTGCGGAAAGCCTGTTGAGTAGCGTTCTTGAAAGCCATTTCTGACGAGTCGACGGCGTGCGTTGCTCCGTCGTTGATAACCATCGAAGTGCCCAGTACCTTGTGGCCAAGAAGAGGTCCCTTTGTTGTTGATGCCAAAAATCCCTTTTCGCAAGCGAACAAGAACTTTTCTGAGATAGTTCCACCAGAGATTTGCTGCTCGAACTTGTTCTCGGTTAGGGACTCGCTGGGCTCCAACCATCCTACTACACGCGCGAAATCTCCGGATCCACCACTCTGCTTCTTCAGCGTGTGGTCGAAGTTGACGCGCTTGGTGATTGTTTCACGGTATGCGACCTGCGGCTGTCCGGTCTCGCATTCGACTCGGTACTCACGACGCATGCGCTCGACGTAAATGTCGAGATGCAGCTCACCCATACCTGAGATAATGGTTTCTTGCGATTCAGGGTCCGTGTGAACTCGGAATGTAGGGTCCTCGCGGGTGAAGCGGCTCATGGCCTTACTGAAGTTGGGTGTATCCTTGGTGTGCTTGGGCTTGATCGACAAGGAAATGACGGGCTCGGGAACAAACATGGAGGTCTGTCATGTTAGCTCTATATATGTCCAAACCATTGCGACCACTTACCATAGTGTATGCGAGGTTACCATCAGTAAAGGTATCGCCAGATGCACAGTCGACACCGAACACGGCGCAGATTTCACCAGCGCCAATCTCCGGTACTTCCTCCATGTCGTTGGAATGCATGCGCACAATCTTAGGGATCCTGACCTTCTTGTCTGACCTGGCGTTGAACACATTCATGCCCTTCTTGAGCGTACCTTGGTACACACGAATGTACGTCAACTGTCCAAAGCTGCTCTCTTCCAGCTTGAATGCTAGACCAACAAATGGCAAATCATTGTATGAGACTAGCTTGACTGGGGCTTCTGCTCGCTTCTTGTCCAGCGCCATGTTCTCGACTTCGGAGGGGTTCGGTAGGTAATCGCATACGGCATCGAGCATCGGTTGTACAGACTTATCGGCGAGGGCGGAACCCATCATGACTGGAGTGAACTTGAGAGAGATTGTAGCTCGTCGAATAGCGGCCTTGATCTGGGCAACAGTTGGCTCCTGCTCGTCCAAGAAGAGCTCTGCAATCTCGTCGTCCACATCTGCCAATGTCTCAATGAGTTTTTGCCTCTTCTCCTTGCACAACTCAATAAGATCTGCAGGAATTTCGTCCGTTTCCCTGATGATTTCGCCCTTGGGTCCTTCGTTGTAGATGGCCTTCATCCTGATCAAGTCGACAACACCCAAGAAACCATCCTCACGTCCGATAGGCACCTGAATAGCCGCAGCTGCTATCCTGAGTTTTTGGTTGATCTGATCAACAGCCTTCCATGGGTTGGCGCCCATTCGGTCCATCTTGTTGACAAAGGATATCCTAGGAATGTTGTAACGCCTCATCTGCCTGTCAACAGTGATCGTTTGACTCTGTACTCCACTGACAGCACACAGAATCATGACAGCTCCGTCAAGAACTCGCAGCGCTCTCTCCACCTCAATGGTAAAATCGATATGGCCAGGTGTATCAATCAAGTTGATATGATATTTCTCTTCCTTTCCTTCATCGTTCTTCTTAACCCAGTCACAGAAAGTGGCCGCAGACTGAATAGTGATACCCTTCTCACGCTCAAGATCCATGGAGTCCATCTTGGCACCTACAGAATCTTTACCGCGGACCTCGTGTATAGCGTTGATACGTCCGGTGTAGAAGAGAACACGCTCAGTGGCGGTGGTTTTGCCAGAGTCAATGTGTGCAGCGATACCGATGTTTCGTACTCTCGAGAGCCGTTCCCATTCGACAGGGTTCAAATTCTCAACAATCTTTTCTTGGGTCAAGGCAGATGGGTCTTCTTTGGCTTGCTCTAATCTAAACTTCCTGATCAGCATTTTACTGCCGCCTCGCCATTGTCGACAAAAGTCTCTGCGGGCACATACACTTGAGCGGCCACTGAGTTCCATCTTCGTTGCTGCTGGGTCCGCTGGCTTTCTATCCATGTGTCGGTCTTCAATCCATTGGTGTATGGCGTGCGCGATGCGGCAATGGTCGAGAGAGCGCATCGTGAAGGCATTCTCGCTGCCGATCGAGTAGAACAGCGAAGACTGCTCGTGGCGAGCGATTGAGCCCGGAGGATAGACTGTACCCGCATCTTGAACACCTCAAAATGCTAAAAGAAAGGGTATACAACGAAAGGACGACGCTGAGGTCTTGTCGCTTCGGGATGCCGAATCGCCCACCAGGAAAAAAGTTGGGCCACCGGAGTTTCGGGCGGAGGTGCCAGTCACGTGCTGGCGCGTTGGACCAGTGCCAAGCTAATTGCTTATTAGGGGGGTAACGCGCGTGCCTCCTACAGCATCAATTTATCGTGTTCGCCTGGAAGAACATTACGGATGACCTACCCTCCGCTCGAATCTACTGTTGCAAGTCCAAAATCACCACATAGTGGAAGATTGGAGTATCACTTCGACGGGTTTGTTTACCACAAGGAAATGACACCAATCGTCATAAGCACTACGTATGGCTGTGCTACTATGCTATTTGCCGTCTGCACAAAGAAGATTCCGATGAACAAGGTCAAACAATGTCGAGGCGGGTAGCTGCATGCGGGCAGCGCCACTGTTGTTCATTGTCGACATCCTTTGTCCGCAGTCATGACAAAGATTTCTTGTTCGTGTATGTCTAATAGATATCTTGTTGGAATTTTCACGAAACTGTCTCTTGTATTCCTTTTTCAGTTTGATCTGTGATTTGGACAAGGTACGAATGATTTGGTCTATTTATTCCCGTGTTGTGAAATGACTACTGCTAACGTGCGCAAGACCCAGCTACTGATTCCACACTATTGACCAAATACACAATAATGGGTGCTTATGATGACCCTTTGGCGGACTGTCCTTCCGACCTCAGCAGTCCCTCTAGTCCTACGCAGACTGCTTCAATGAGCGATAGTGAAGAACCATCATCGAAGGAGATCAACCGCCGTCTGGCCCAAGCTCTGGACTACCTGGATGACCAAGGAAGTGATGACTCTCCCAGGATATATATGGAGCGTGTAGCCAGAATCAACGACTATCTCGTACAGCAACTGCCTCAGCAAGAGGTCAACTTTGACAATGCACTCTATCAACACTTGCGAGATACGGTTAGACAAGAGCAGGAAGCCTATAATGCGGTCAGACAAAGCGCACGAACCGTACCAAACAACAAAGAGTCTTTGGTTGGAAGCGGATCTGATGTGTCACCGGGAAAACACTCAGGTTACCATTCAGCATCCGTGGCACACGCGCTACACAGAGAAGATGAGCAAATTTATGATCCTGCGGCTGGATCCCTGAGAAAAGGCCACAAAACACAGGAAATGGTACAAACCAGGCGGACATTCAAGTACGGAGGACTGTCCAGTGATGCTGAGGTTTGGCACAGAAATTTCCCAGCGATCCTGCCCTTCCCGGAAACACATCAACTGGCGCACTGGGAAAGTCTCAAAATTGCCTTTGACCTTGATGAATCTGTGAAAAAGCAGAAAGCAGAGGGTGATGTTGTCGAGACCAACGTATCCTTCGACCATCCAGCCCTTGACCAATACAAGAACCTTGAATTGTACGAATCTGGCTCCCGATTCAAACTCCCGACACCACCAAAGGAGATTGAAGAAGAGATAAGGCGGTTGTGCACGGTCGATCAAATCGCAAAAGCTGTGGACGAATTCAACACGGGCGAGGATGAGGATGAGTCTGGAAAGAAATACGCTCCGCGGATCTTCCTGGATAAATTGAGCGTTCACCAGAAAGGTACAGGGTAAATCGCTTCTTCCATTGTTTCATACTAACACAAATTTAGATGGTCCAACAGATATTCGACGTGCTATAAACACTTCACCCACCAAGCCACGTCAACGGGCAGTGCGAAGTGGTGCTCAGCCTGGCAGTTCAAACGCTAATCAAGTGAAGTCGTCGACAACAAAGAGCGCAGCAACAGTTTTGAGCAGCGTTGCTGAAAGCACACTAACTATGGTTCAGACTCCTGCCAAGCTGTCCCCCGGAAAGCCACAAGCGTCTCTGCCGCAAACACGAGAAAATAGAGTGGTTATTGCAAATGACTTAGCTCGCATGGCAAGGGAAGAGGCCCAGTCTGCAGAAAAGATTGCACACGCTGCGAGAGAAAAGGCACGCAAAGCGACACTGGATGCTCTCAGGATAGCAGATCAAGCTAACGGAAAAGTGTCACCGGATAACTGTGTGTCATCTCCTATTTCTAGAATGATCAATCGAGAGCGTGAGATGTCGCTCGAGAAGAGTCCAAGGCGTCAGAGTGGAGTCAGCACCGCGCCACCCAGTGCAGAAACAACTCCAACGGACGTCGTTCCTATCGAGGAGCCCGACGATGCGCCTGGGTCTGAGCCACTGGTAGTAGATATGTCGCAGTTGGTACACACACTCGCCAATGTTACCACCCCCAAGCCCAGCAGCGGCAGGACTGTTAGGCGCAAACGTAGCATCGGGGATGAAGCCTATACTCCGGAGAGCAAGCGCAGCAAGGTTGGGACGCCTTCATCGTTGGGAAAGGGCGCCAGTGGCAAGCAGCAAACTTCGGGAAAGTCGGTTCGCTTTATGACTGAAGACGATTCGGATGATGGGTCATCCGATAGTACCACTATCACAGCAAGGAAACGCAAAAGGGTAAGGAAGCAAGCTACTCCCAAACCTGGGAAGAAGACATCTCCAAGTCCCAAGACGAATCCCATTGAGGTATCAACAGACGATGCAAGCGAGACAGGCTCGTACCAAACCACTGCAGCTACCAGGAAATCTCCGGTTGCCAAAAAGCCTGCAGCAAAGTCCAGGACAAAGCCCAGAGGCAAGCCTGCAAACACTGCCGCGGCAGTCAAGCAAGAGGGTAGTAAAGCTACTGCGCCAGGTAAAGCGGTACAACGCATACGGGCGAAAAAGGTAGTGAGGGAGCATGTTTGTGTTGATGAGCACATGGAGGAGCTCGAGGAGACTGCTGTGGAAATCGCAAAAGTGAGAGGTACAAGGGGTGGAGCGAGACATGCCAAATGATGGGACCCATGGAATTGATGCGACGGTATTGGTAGTTGTGTCTTCTCAGCGTTTGTCTTGTCTATTTGTGAGATGTCTTCCATGCGCATGTCCTAGAATTGGTTTATAGCATATGGAGATTTAGATGGATTATCGACGTACTGGTCTTATACTGTTGATACAGTAATTTGACCAGCTGTATGAGAGAGTGAAATGTATGCTATGTACTCCTTGCGTTGTTATTTCTCTCGCTGTCAGCTGTGGATCTGTTCTTACTGTTTTCTTAATAGTTTTGTCTTGGTATTGCCGGATGACCTTCTGTCTTCAAGCTGCATGCCTCTGTAGTCGTAGTAATTTAGCGAGCGTCCGAGTATGTGTGCTTGGCATCTTTTTGCTTTTTTCTACTATTTACCACGCAAAAACACAAATCCCCCGTTGAATACGGTCTTTACCGGGTCGAATTCGCGATTGCAGTGCGCAACACGAGACTGGCGTCTTTCTGGTACCGCTGTCATTGTCCGCGTGACGTCAAGCCTTCCGCCTGACTGCAACTCGTCTCTCTACTAACTACTAGTAGAGCTTGCGCACGCTTATCGAGTGCACGCACACACATAGACAGCTGCGTCCCTCTCACCTTCCTTACAAGGGGTTTCCTGTTCTTTCGGCCCGAGATTTTTCTCTCTTCCCAATCTGATCGATGTTTGTGTTTTTAAATACCATCATCGCAACCACAGACTCTCGCATCTACTACAAAGCTAGCTTCAAGGCCAAAATTGCAACTTCGCCGCATCCACACTCACCGCAACAGTCAATTGCTTGCGCGTGTCTGCAGCTACGCGTTTCGACCGCTTAGACATTCCGTGTCAAGATTTGTTTGCCCCCATCCTTTGAGCAAGCGAACAAGCCCGCGCCACCCTGGCCCACTTTGCTACTTCTATCCCTGCGGTCTGGTCCTCGTTGTCTCAAAAGCAAAGTTCTTGAATCGGTACAAACTTTCCCAGTGCCTGACCAGTCTCTCGCTTTTCTATCACTCGGATCCGCCTTGCTGAAATCCCGCTTCTCTTGATCTGGTGGGTTTTCACCGTCTCCGCCAATCTTTTAGTGCATCCCTGTAAGTAAGAGTGAAAGCAAGCGCCTTTACGTGCAAACGAACATGGGTTCCAATCCTAAATAGAACTACAATAGTTCCACACCGTCCACCGCTTGCACAACGTGCTAAAGACCATACATCACAGCACTACAACGAACAAAATCAGAGGCAAGCCCCAAGCACAGAATCAGTTGTGAGGCTGTAGCATGAATCGCGGCGATAGAGGCGGCCAGCGAGGCGCTCGACGCAGCTCTCGTGGCGGCTCTCACAGCAGTAGAGCGTCCTCCAACAGTTCCGGTAGCTCCAGCACCCATTCCAAGACTAACCGAGCAAAATCAAAGTGCGACTCAAATGGCCAGCGCAATCTGCACAGATCCATCCTGAAAAGCGAGGCAGCGCATTGCCAGGAAAGCAAGTTCAAGTTATTGGGCCTACCGAAGACTTGCTGGACAAGAGAAGTTTACCAGGCAATGTCATCGTATGGCAACGTCTTCAGGATCGAGATGGAGACATCGCGTAGTGGTAGCTACAACGCATATGTAGTGTTCAGGTAAGCCACCAGCCAAAGTTGAATGAACACACCTAACGTATTTCAGGCCCCCTCC